TGGATCCTCTGCAGTGAATGGGAAACGTCACAATAATCCCCAAGTAATCCACAGAACTCCAGTCCATCAGTTAATGTTGTGTGATCCGAAAAGCTGTTTTTGTAATAAACAAACCATCATGATGTTTTTAACGTCAATCCATTGCTTATGACTAAGATCGAGTAAAAAAGCCATCTTGCCTGAATCAGAAGAGATAGCACCATTTACAAGTGAAAACAGTTCTAAACATTATATGTCTGTGGATTTTGATGTGAGAGGACAACAGGGGATGGACTTTTTCATTAGAGGAAGAATTATTATGGATTATGGACTGGTATGGACCGGATGCAAAGATTCAAAGTTAAAACGCCTTAATGAGGGACTTGTTTCTTGCAAACATGCAGCTTTTCACTTCACAAGACATTAATTGAAGGATTGGAGTCGTGTGGTTTACTTGTGGATTATTGTGATGTTTTTATCAGCTGTTTAGACTCTCATTCTGACGGCACCCATTCACTGCAGAGGATCCACTGGTGAGCAAGTGATGTAATGCTAAATTTCTCCAAATCTGTTCCGATGAAAAAACAAACTCATCTTCATCTTGAATGGCCTGAGTGCGAGTACATTTTTAGCAATTTTTCACTTTTGGGTGAACAATTCCTTTACACACATACACCCGAGTAGGCATAAACAACAAACAATACAGCAATTATAAATAAAAATAATGAATCAATATAAATCAAAAATTTTTGGTCATGCTCCTGCTCTAAAGTTTTTTTTGTTTGTTTGTTTTTTTTCGGATGTGCACATACCATTTCACTTTAATACATACCCATTGCTCAGAGTTCAGACTGGACTTCAATAATGCTTCTGGCACTTCACCTTCTGGAAGTGATGTCAGCCGTGACTCCACCTGAATAAATGACGCATATGTTAGACATCACCAAAAAAATAAAAATACAAATGTTAAATTACTAATAATTACTAGTCCTTCACTGGTGATGTTTCTTACCTCTGCACAGGCATCACTTATCCGAGAGGATGTTTCTAAGCCAAGAGTCTGAAAGGTGCCGCCAGAATAATCCCCAAGTAATCCACAGAACTCCAGTCCATCAGTTAATGTTGTGTGATCCGAAAAGCTGTTTTTGTAATAAACAAACCATCATTATGATGTTTTTAACGTCAATCCATTGCTTATGACTAAGATCGAGTAAAAAAGCCATCTTGCCTGAATCAGAAGAGATAGCACCATTTACAAGTGAAAACAGTTCTAAACATTATATGTCTGTGGATTTTGATGTGAGAGGACAACAGGGGATGGACTTTTTCATTAGAGGAAGAATTATTATGGATTATGGACTGGTATGGACCGGATGCAAAGATTCAAAGTTAAAACGCCTTAATGAGGGACTTGTTTCTTGCAAACATGCAGCTTTTCACTTCACAAGACATTAATTGAAGGATTGGAGTCGTGTGGTTTACTTGTGGATTATTGTGATGTTTTTATCAGCTGTTTAGACTCTCATTCTGACGGCACCCATTCACTGCAGAGGATCCACTGGTGAGCAAGTGATGTAATGCTAAATTTCTCCAAATCTGTTCCGATGAAAAAACAAACTCATCTTCATCTTGAATGGCCTGAGTGCGAGTACATTTTTAGCAATTTTTCACTTTTGGGTGAACAATTCCTTTACACACATACACCCGAGTAGGCATAAACAACAAACAATACAGCAATTATAAATAAAAATAATGAATCAATATAAATCAACAATTTTTGGTCATGCTCCTGCTCTAAAGTTTTTTTTGTTTGTTTGTTTTTTTTCGGATGTGCACATACCATTTCACTTTAATACATACCCATTGCTCAGAGTTCAGACTGGACTTCAATAATGCTTCTGGCACTTCACCTTCTGGAAGTGATGTCAGCCGTGACTCCACCTGAATAAATGACGCATATGTTAGACATCACCAAAAAAATAAAAATACAAATGTTAAATTACTAATAATTACTAGTCCTTCACTGGTGATGTTTCTTACCTCTGCACAGGCATCACTTATCTGAGAGGATGTTTCTAAGCCAAGAGTCTGAAAGAGTTCTGCTAGATCTTTATTTACTTCTTTCAAATTAGTTTTATCCTCTCGTGCTGGACTGATTTCCTGTTGCTCATCTTTATTGCCCATATTAAGACTTTCCCATTTTCTTTGCTCTTTGCCCTTTGACTCAGAACTCTCTTCTGTATCTTCTGGATGACTCTCTCTGTACACCAGCACACGTGTTGCCGCCAACTCTGACACCAAATACTCTGTAAATTGAGTGAAAATATGTACAGTAACACTTCACAGAAAATCCTAAAAATGCACTGACTGACATTATCTATCACCTCCCTACCTTACCGGTCACTCTGAACAACAGAAGTGGGCTAAGGTGCTCTGATGTTAGTGCATTTTGAGGACAGGACATCTCCTTCAGCACTTCCCTCAACTCCCCGACCAGAACTGCACCACCAACACGCCGTGCTGAAGCACAGTTACATTTTATCCATGATAATAATAAAAAAAGATGGTTAAACTAAAGTTGTGCAAAATGTTGTTTTATAGGCAGGATTTTTTTTGTATCCCAGGCCTAGAATTAAAGCTAAATATAAATAATTCGATTTAAAAGTCTATGAATTAAAATAATTTATCATATTTTAAATATGATACATTGAAATACCTTATTTACTCATCACAAACGACTAAAAAGAGATGGAAATTCGTTAGTGAATATAGAAGTGTGAAATAGGTCTCGGTTGGGTTACCTGGAATATCAGGACAACTTGCTCTTAGTTCTGAGATCAACCAGGTGAGCAGCGGGCAAGGTAATTCATCACATTTACATTCCTTCAAGCACTCTCTGCTTTTATACCTATGACATATTAAAACAGCCGTGAGTGTAATTATCTTGAAAACAAAACAAAGTTTTTAAATTGCTGTTTATTTCAGCGTTACTCACCCAAGAGCTTTAATTAAAGTGATTGCAGCAGTATCTCTCTCCATTGTAACAATTACACAGGATATGCCGTGAGTTCTGTACTTCCTTATTCAACATCAATGGCTGTTGTAAACAACGCAGAAGTCAAGAAGAAGTCAAGCTCTGCCGATAACCGATTGCAAGACAAGATTAATCGATCGCAATTGATCGAAACAATTCAATCGTCCTAATCACCGAACGGACAGATTCCTTTGGTTCTAAACTGATCAGGTATTACACAAATGTTGCACAAACACTCAAGACAGACACTGATCTTGGATCTTGACGCATTGATCTTTCAGTGTCTCGACTGTTTTTCCCCCTTGCAAATGAATAAATACATACTGATAAAATAAAACGTAAATTACTAAGTAATATACATTAAATACAATTAATAATTAATTCGTAATAATTAATTTTTTAAAAATCTGTTTGACAATTTTTTTTTTTTTTAATCTTGTGCATTAATATTAGCACTTATCCCAGTTTATAATTGACTACTGTGTTATCGAGAAATTAAATAATACTAATTATTAATAGTTTTGCTTATTAGGGAGGAAAGTGTTGCATGGTTATTTTAACTTGGACAAAACAAAATGTATTTAATTCAACTTTTTATTTAGGTCAAACAAACTTTTATCAATATTCCTTTTCTAACTATAAATCAATTACCTGTATACTTTAAACTATATTTAAGTTGCTGTATTTGACACGTTTACGTTGTTTTTATATGAACATTAAAAAGGCTGCGTATGACGACTATTATTGGCTCCTGCGTCGTAGACAGACAGCAGCTTCAGCCAATCAGCTGCAGGGACCGAGAGCGCGCAGACCAGAGCCGCGCGGAGGAAGTAAGCAACCACGGTCACCCTCCATCTTCGAAACCATCGTAAAGACAATTCGCTTGAGGGGGAAACTGACAGATAAAGGTAAATATTTTGTTTTCTGAGCACACGAGGTAGTATGTATGTTCAGTTAGTGATTTAAACTGATATTTGATTATTTTAGAGTATGCATGTAAGGCGGGTGGATTTTGCGTGCAAAATAACGTTACTTGACTCCATAGTTCGCTGGAATGCTAACTGTGGATACAACGAAACACGCCAATAGATTGTTTTGACCCGTGAACGAATGGATTTTGGTCTATGCATGTTGTTGTAGTTCGTGTACTAAAGCCGAAATACCCTTCCAAATGAAGTGAAAGTGTCTTTTAGCTACAAAGACCTTTGCCTCAGTCAGCCAGTTAGCTTGCAGGCTAATATTTTAGCGAGTGTGGAGATGATCCGCCGAGCGCGTACAGTAACCAATCAATGACTCCCGTGTGTTTACTCTGACTGTACAGGCGCACAGTTTGGAATAAACTGCTGTAGGGGTGCATGCATCATGAGCGGGCTTAATGTCAAAAAGCTCAAAGTCAATGAGCTGAAAGAAGAGCTCCAGCGGCGAGGCCTGGACACTCGCGGGCTGAAGGCGGATCTGGCGGACAGATTGCAGGCGGCTCTGAAGGCCGAGGCGGCTGGGTCTGCGCCATCGGACGAGCAGGAACAAGACTATGAGGCTGGCGGGGAGCCGGGAGAGGGCAATGATTATCAGGAGGAAGGTAAAGTGTGTTTTTACGTATGTGTTTTGACTTGGTTAAATTCTGAAGCTGTAATGCAGGCTGTGTTGTTGCGAATGGGGATGTGCTTCACCGAGATTAGGAGAGATTATTTATTAGGGTCGCCTGGCAACTTGTCAGACCACAATAGGGGGACCCCTTTTGATGTAGGACATCCATCTGGGAAATACAAGAAGTGGCATGATCTAATAAGTGCTTCCATTGTCGTGGAAAACTCAAAATTTTGTCATTTTACAACTGGAAAAATCTGGTGGCATGAAAAAAATCAGTAAGAAATTAATAGATTCTTATAAGTCATGGATATATTGTGGAAATTTCACAGAGTATTTTTATACATGTAATAACTGTAGCAATTAACATTAATTCCAAATCTTACATTATATATAAAGTACTAGTGTTGTCACGGTACCAAAATTTCAGTATTCGGTACCAATACCAGTGAAAATCCACGGTTCTCGGTACCAGTTTCGGTACCAAAGCAAAACACAAAAACATGCTAATTGAACAACATTTTTATTAATAACGTTAAACAAAAATTAAATGTACAAAACCAATGCCATTCTTTATACTTATTTAAAAGTGTTTCAAGTTTTCCCACAAGTAATAAAAGTATGAAAAAAATAAACAAGTTTCACTCAAAAGTTTAGTCATAGTTCTGCTGCCACTGAAAAACATCTGTACCGACTTGGTACCGAAATACCTGGTCTTTTGACAACACTATAAAGTACATGTTGTTAGTTAATATTTGTCAGTAATTATTTGTGCAATTACACTGTAATAAGCATAGCCTAAATCTTTACATTTATTTAAACAACTACAATTTTTTCCCAATACTTCTATTCTGTATATTGTACATTATTTAATTCTGTTTTTTCTTATATTAGTGTTATATTCCATCCCTACTGTGTTATTCCTATGCATGTCTGCACTATGTCTGTATTTTCTTCTGCACTGGAAGCTCCTGTCGTCACGTCAAATTCCTTGTGTGTGTAAACATACTTGGTAATAAAGCTCTTCTGATTCTAAAATAAAGTGTAACCATTGCAGCATTGACATTAATGCAAAAAAAAAGATTTGTGATTTCCTGGCATGGAAAAAAAACTTTTACTTAAAAAAAAAAAGAAAAAAAGAAAGACAGACAGAAAATAAACTGCTTGTGAATTAGAAATGAAAATATATCACGAATAAGCCATGGATGTTTAAAAAAAATTAGTTGTTTTGGAATTGCTATTTTTTTTACATAATATGTACAAATTTGTATAAATAAATATATATATATATATATATATATATATA